TCAAGAAAATCTCACAGGCAAATCAGCAGCTGAAATACCAACTTTTTGGTATTTCAGCTGCTAGGCAATATTAGTCATTACATATATAGTTGAAATAGCAGATTGAACTAACCAGAACTAAATCCCCTGGATAGGAAAACCAGAAAAATAACATCAATGAATCATACCCTTCATCTACGCAGCATTGTTAACAGACTGTATTTACCAAGAAGCATAGATGGCCATGAAATGCTGCTAATATACTAGGCAGCTGAAGAAGAAGAAAATACATTGGAAGAATATTTAAAGGACAGAGAAGATGATGCACTGAAGCTACTATGCCATGAATATCAAAGAGACCAACCTGGCTTATAAGAAAGACCAAATGAAGAATAGAGACATGACAAGGCAAAGTATTACATGTCCAGTGCATTAATAAGCTAGCAGGCAAAGCAGATAGCAAGAAGACCTGACAATGGCTTAGAGCAGGAAAGTTGAAAAAAGAGACAGAGGGGCTAATTATGGCTGCATAACATTATGTTTTAGGAACAAATGAATATAATGCTGGAATTGAGAAGACAGCAACACACAGCAAATGCCAACTGCAAGAAATACTATTTGCCTGCAAGCAAGAACTGGTGGGATCACAAAATAGACAAAGTAATAGAAAACTAAAGTGCTTTGGGATTTTAGAATTCAAACAGACAAGAATCTGCCATGCAACACTTTGGACTTAATAGTTGCTGAAAAGAAAGACAAAAAAGTCTAGATAGTGGACATGGCAGTATATAGAGTCAGCAAAATAGAAAAGAACAAGTTGGACAAAATCACAAAATACAAAGACATGCAAATAGAAGTGGAATGATTATTGCAAAAGGAAACAAAGATAGTGCCAATAGCAATAGGTATCTTTCCTGTCATTCCAAAACATCTGGAGTAACATGAAAAGCATTGGATTTGACAAAATCATCCATCAATTGCAAAAGGCAGATTTCCTTGGAACAGTTTACATCCTGTGACAATATCTTTAATAGTATATCTTTAATAGTATTAAACAACACCTGCCTTTCCCAGGTCCTCAATAGGTGTGCCAAAATGCCAAATCCAGTCTAAATATCTGGCTGATTACATAGGTAGCCATAATATATTAAATGTATATTTTTTAAGGTCAAGCAAGAAAAATATTCCTTAGTAGCAACCAAGGGAGGCGGGGTTAAAAGAGATAGGAAAGTCTGCCTGTGGGGCCTTTACCTCAGCACATGCTAAATTTTAATAATAATTCTGGTTTGTCTGTTCCATCTGAATAAACTAATTAGAAATGAATTGTTGGAACTGAAATTACTTTAAAATGATAGATTTTTAGTAGTTGGGGCTAAAGATATGTTTGAATGACAGAATTATAGGCTGTTATCCATACCTCTGGCGGTTATAGTGCAGATGAAATTGTACAACACCAACAGGGTGATGTACTAAGGCAATTTCTGTAAAAGATCTAAAAGAACTTTTTATGAAGTGGCCAGATTTTAACCTCACTAAAATACCAGAGAAGGAGGAGGTGTAGCTCAAAGAATAACAATATGATAATTGCACCGAGTTTTCTTAAAGATGTCATTAAATTCCTTCATTCTTTCATTTCTTTCCATACTGTTGAATTTCTCAAGGAAGCATTTTCTTAAGTCAGATAAAAAATCAACAATATTGCCCTGGCAATGAATAGATGGAGTCTATTCTAAATTTTGAGATTTATAAATTATTCTAAACTTTAAGACAATACATAGAGAAAATGCTTCTCTATTTAAAAATTAATGCTTTTTAGGCTATTTAATATGTACCAGATGATAGCTCTGTCATTTAAAATGGAACAAAAAGAAATTCTGGAAGGTTATGTATGCAGAATTCCATAGGCTAAAAGTCAATGGGCCCTTAATTTATTCCAAACATCTGGCCATTAAATTGTATAGTCTGACACTTCTCATTTAAAATTCATTGCTAATTGGGAAACCCATTAAAGTATTCTTGTTTTTCATTGTTTTCAAACAAACATCTGGACCCTAAAATTGAGATTAGCTTCCTTTTTTTTTTTTTTCATATCAGCCCTCTTTAATATGATGCCTCAAGAGACACTGGAAATTTCTAGAGTATTCCTAGTAAAAGAGAAGAAGCCAATGATAATGAAACATATCAATAAAATAAAACTAAATTTTATATAATATGAATGGCTCATAACTCAATTCTGAGAGGCCCTCTGAAAAAGCTAGGTCCTTGCAACTTTCAAGAAAGTATTAAGAAAGGGAGTTATCCTTACCTCAACTCTTTTATAATTCTTGTACCTCCTAATAGCTGGAGCCTTGAGCATCCTTTGATTATTCTAAGTTTTTCTTAAGGAAACATTATCACTTAGATTCCCATACTCCAAGTCCCTATTTTGGCCAATTTAACCGAATAACACTTACAGTATTGGATTATCACTGTAGATAAAACCAATATTCATAACCAATACCCTTGTAGGTTTCCTTTCAAAAATATACATTCTTAGATGAACATTAACTTGTACAAACTATGGAACCACATTTCAATAGGTGATAATATTAATAGAAATGATGCAGAGACAATTCTCAAAGTTTTCTACTAAATGTTAGCTTTGTTCCTGAATTTGTATTGGAGAAAAATAAATTATACTTGTGGCAGCTACTAGAAGCAGTTATTCAATTAGCAATCATATTTTTGTGTGATGCTAACTAAGAGTCTCCTTTTTCATCATGACTTATGTTAACAGTGTATGTTTCTTGCACTCACTCTTTGGGTTTCATAGATTTTCTTTGTGGGGAGATCTTTTCTTTCCCTTTCGATCAAAACTCATGAAAATTTATGATTATAGTTTAGTGGGCAATCAAACTTGTTCTCAATTTTGAGCTAGTAGTTGGTTGCACTTAGTAAAATGTGTTAAAATTGCATCCTTTCAAAAGACAGCAATAAGATACCCTCGCATTAAATGCTCTTCCCTTTATTATTCCCTTATAGTGCTACAGATGGATTTGTTGCACAGTCAAGGAAATTCTAAAAGTGTGTTTCTTAAACAATGAGTATGATTTGCAAATGAAATATAAGACCATCAACATAGCACAAGTTCTGGCCATTTCTGTATCAATTTTTAAAGTAAGGTTCAATTTCGGCCCTGCTATACAAAGTTACTTATTGCTTGGGTGAGCCTTTCCGGAGCCACTGAATACATATTAGTTTGTGTGACTTTATTATTGTTATTTCTCTGCTTTTCTCTTACAGTAACCTCTCAACTTCAGAGAAAAGCAACATTATAAAATGTTGCACTTGTATTTTTGTCTTTACATCTTGTGTTTTCAACTATCACTTAAGTTATAATTTACCAAAATTATAACTTAAGCGAATCACACTCAGCAGATATATTGCAACAGTCCAATAGCCTTTTCTTAATGCGTATTATTGTATGGAGAAAAATATGAAGTAAAAAAGAATGGAGAGAAAAGGAAATTGCTTCCACAAAGTGCATATAAGGTTAAAATCTTATACTGAATCTGAATTTCACTCTCTCTGCTGCATATCCTAAGGCTCAGTCTCTTGAAACTAAAAAAAAACTATAAACAATAGACTACGGAAAATGATTATTTTAAAAATATGTTACTGAACCTAAGGATTATTTACATTAATTTTTTTTAACCATTTTGGTCCATAGAGAAACAAAATTGAAGGACTAATAAAATTAATACAGTGTGCAAGTGTTTTTGTTCTCTGTGATATTATTCAGATTTCAGCCTTTCCCACTTTTTGTCTCTACTTCTTGTTCCTATAATATCAGCTGAAAAAAGAGCGTTCCAGATTATGAATGCTGCATATCAACAAACCAACCAACCAACCAATCAGTCATAAATCAATCAATCAGTCTTTATTTGGTCATAGAGCAGCAGATACTGCATACCTTTTTGTATGGAACTAATAAAGCATTGTCTAAGCCAGAGGTCTTCAAACATGGCAGCTTTAAGACTTGCGGACTTCAACTTTCAGAATTCTCCAGCCAGCTGTGTTGGCTAGACAATTCTGGGAGTTGAAGTCCATAAGTCTTAAAACTGCCAAGTTTGAAAACCTCTGGTCTAAACTGAGCTTTGGATTGGATTTCAGATATTTTTTCTTCTGTTACATCAGTATGATTATGTTTGCTTTTTATGTTCCCTTAAAGATATTAACCATCTAGGCTGCATTTACATAGGAATAGTTCATGCAATCTGAAAAGGTCTGCACATTTTAAGGATCCAATTCCATCCACCTAAGAGGCACTATTTCACTTTTCTGACCATAGCCCAGCTACTAAAGAAATGATTCATTTCCTTTTTAATATGAGAACTGTGATTCTTCTTTGTCTCTGCTCTTCTAGGTGTCTGCCAGGCTATTGGGGGTAGGATTACTGACAGAGTAGAGCACCATGATTTACTAATACCATCTAAACATGTAGATAGTCTTCTTCTCAATATTAAAATAAACATTCATCTTATGCTTTTAATTTTGTAAAACTGCAAAATGTGATTTTTATTATATTATTATGAAAAAGTTGTGGAAAATTAGAAAACTTCTACATCTTTTAGTATTAATTTAAATGATACCAATAGGCTATAAGATAGAAATAATTTTCAATAAATTCATGTATCACCATATGCAATAAATTTTGTGAAAGCATCAGTGGAACAATGGAATAAAATATTAAGTTGGTGTAATTTTTTGAGGGATATCCCAAATGCTTTTCTCCAAAATGTGCAACACATATGGTTTTGACAGCATGACATCCAGAAGAAGTTAGTGATGTTGAAGACTTATTGTAGTAAAAATTGCTACTTTTCTTTAAAGCTGATCTCCAAAGAGCCCAGGTCAAGGAAGGACATGAAAGCAGGGTACATTTTATGTAGCATTTGAACTGCTGCCCAAAGAAGAAAAATGCTATGCCATGAATTCTTGCTTTATATGACAGCTACTAAAATAATGTAAATCAACAGCTATGATGTACAAAAATACATTTATTCTCAACAATTTCAAAATCACTGCCTTTTTTTTACAGTAGAAATATTCAAATGCAACAATAAAACCAATACAGTATATATTTATTTTTATGTATATGTATATTTATATCTTTCATGCATTTGTCTTATTTATTTTTATACGTATTGCAGTTGTCTGACTCATTTAAACCTTAGAATGAGAAACAAATAAACATCAGTTTGTCTGAGTTGAAATCACTGTAGGTGTCTATGAAAGATAGTTACTATGTTTATGGCAATCTGATAGCTTTAAAATTGGGCAGATTTGTTTTGTAAGCATTCAATAAATATGTTTTACTTTACATATGTGAGCCACACATAGCATTCAACTATGTGAGCACTTCCAACAGCCTATTCCCAATAATTCCACAGAAATTGTAAACGAGAGGATGTGCATTGCAGCATCAGCTTCCTGGAGTTTAGGCTCGCCACTGTGGGGTGATTACAAGAGAACTTTAAGAAATTCCTTCTGAGGGCATCTCACTTTTTTATATGCAAGTAGGCTGTTAAAGGGAGTGCTTGATATGGATGGTTGGATAGTTGCGACGTAGTGGTAATAAATGCATCAGGAAAATGGAGGATAATGTGCAAAGGTCTGAGAAAAAAAGCTGTACCCTCACTGTTAAACGAACAGTGATGGTGACTTCTTGAACATGAAACCCCTCCTTTTTTATGTCAGATCAGTTACTAGCAAACCCTTTCTTATTCAGAATTTAACCCCCAATGAAAGGACTGTTCTGCTATAAATTACAGAGACCTGGCTACAGAAGAGCAAAGAATTTATCTTTCTGATCTTTGACTACCAGGCTACTATGTGGTATAGCAGAAGGACAGGAGATGGAATGGCTGACCAGATGCTCCACAGAAACAGTGCAGCGATGGTGAATGTATGCTGCCACATTTCACTGTCTAAACATATAAATCCCTGGCCAATTTTAATCTTTGCAAGGATGGAGAATTGGTTAAAATAGTCTGGCTCATAAGTATCTTATGGAGCCAGTTGGTTCTCCAAATGTGCTTGGGGAATTTCCAACTTTAGCCACATGCCTTGTGAAATATACTGTGGAATATTGTAGAGTAGTTTAATGCTCCTAAATTGACTCTTCCCTAATGGAGAGCCACATCTATCCTATTTACTAGGAAGGTGAGATGTACAAAGTGGATGGCTTGCCACTGCTATTTAAATGAAATAATTCTTGGACAGATTAGAATATATAGAGAATATATTCTCTATAAACCCATATAAGAATATATATATAGAATGAGGCTCATCTGAACTGCAATGATGAAATGGTTGCCATTTGAACTGCACCTGAACTGCAACAATGAAATGTTTGTCATGGATGCTTAGCTTTTTGCATCCACTGCATCCACCAAGAACAAATCAGCATTGCTCTTCTATGATATGTGGCATCTTCATGACCAGGTGGAACGGAGCTACAACAGTTGATGGTGTACTATGAAGAATTTGTGTTGTTTTGGAGAAAATTGAAGCCCACACACACACCTCCCAAAAAAGAACAGTTTTTCAGACATGGTGCTCTTTTATTCACAGTTTTCACTGGAAGATGTTGTGAAGAGTACCTCCATATAGTTATATTTAGTACCCTAACCGCAAGCTGTCCTGACTAATTTTTATTTTAGTGATAGTTATCTATGTCTTGTTACATCCTGACTCATACCCATCAGGATGGGTTAGTGGTATTAGATTGATGAAGGCAACAGTATGGAATTGCAGCACAAGCCAAATACCTTTTGTGTCTGCAGTGCAACAATCTGATACTGCTTTTGTCATTCTAATGAAAGGTCCTAGTTTCTATGGATGCCATTGCTGCAATGACAATGGAGCTGCTTTTGAATAGTGTACAGAAGATACAATTGGTATAGTAGCAAGTAGCATTTATTCCACCCTTAGCACTTTACCACACTCTCTGGGTGATTTAAAATGAAAGCATTACTTGCATATTGCCCCCAACAATCTGGGCTCTGATTTTACTGACTTCAGAAGGATGGAATCCTGAGTCCCATGAGGAGCAAATTCAAGACTGCAGGCCTACAATACTGTGCTTTAATAACTGAGCCATGACTCATTTACAGCAGTCATGCTGCTAATTGATGCAAGGACCAGGGAGTATTTTCCCTGTACCAAAAATGGCACTAGTTGCTTATGAAGTATAATCTAGGGCAATGATATTAAAGCTCTAAAAGGCTTAGAGCATAACTATTTAAATAACTTTTTTTTCTGTTACAAATCTTATCACTTGTTAAGATTTATATGGAAGTTCTCATAAAGAAGTCCACCACAGCCTATGAACCATCTTTCTGGCACATGAAAGAAATTCTTCACCGTTGCTTGTGGTGACCATACTGATACAGGAAATGCATTGGACCCCAATTCTCTCATTGTTTAGATAATTTGTAAAGAATCCAGACTTTTGTCAGTCTTTTGTTAGAAATTTTAGGGTATTTTTGTTTGAAACTTTTGAACAATCTTTAGTCCTTGTTTAGTGTACTGTCTGGCTTCTTGCCCATAAAGAAAGAATAATTAAATTTCATAATAAATTGTGATAAACCTGACTTTCTACATATTTTATGTAATTTGTATGAATACATTCAAGAATGTTCCCACAGCTACTTGCATCCTCTCAATTATAAAGCTTATAATAAATTGCAAAAAACAAATAAGTCTTATAAAATAACCCCTATGCTCAGAAAAATAAAAATTCCACTCCCCAAGACACATCACTAGTAATGTCACTTTATCATTGCACATATCTCCTAAAATCTTAAATATGTTTTAAAAATGTAGGCATTGGCTGAAAATACATTGCCTATCTCTATGGTAGAAGCTAACATTAAGAGTATTATTGACAGAGGTAGGATAATTAGATGTAAGACTACTTATGAGTAGTCCTTATTTCCAAGCACCTAAATAGAACTATATTGTTGCCAATTATTGTATTAAATTCAATCTGTACAACATGCCCCTCAAGATATCCACTCTCTTAAAGTAAATAAATAAAAGAGCAGAAATAATTTAATTAAATTTCTCCTGCCATTTCCCACAAGCCATTCAAGTCTCATTAAAATGTTAAGTGGCACAATTTTGGCATCTGGATATCATTTTGCACTCCTCCATAGAATTCCATTGGCCTAGTATTAGCCTATGTTCTTATATTCTAAGAGATTTCAGCTGAGGTAAAAGTGAGGCTTTGCAGACTGCATTTTTAAGACCCGGAAAGAAAGATGTCAAATAACCCACAGTTTAAACAAATAAAGAAATATAGACATAAATCTCACCAATACTAATAAAAGAACATGATTTAATTTTTTTCTCAAACATTTTGAGACTGACACTGCAGGCTCAGGCTAGCTTGCTGAATTAATTGTTGTTTCTTCTCCCTCCCTCCCCTTTCCCATTTCTTCTCCTTTATTTTTTTTAAATACAAATCCCTAGAATAAACATTTTGTATAGATTGGAGTTGTCATTAGCTGGACAAACAACATTCAAGATTTGAAATGTAAATGGAAGCCGGTGATCTGAGAAGAGCTGTGGGGGATGTATGGAATTTACTGGAAGGATGAAGAGAGGGTCAATCATTAATCTCATGCAGAGATTAATGATCAATTTTCACTTTTTTTGCATATAGCATGGACATACAAACACACTTTTTCTTAATTACCTGGTAACTAGTTTGCTGAGTATAAATTAAAAGAAACTAAGACATTAATCTAACATTGTCTCTCAGCTTAATTTATCTTGGAGGACTGTGAAACAGGACAGAACCATGTATAGCTATCTTGAATTCCTTAGATGAAGAATTGGAATAAGGGAGGACTGGAATTCTCTGTAATTGTATTTTGTGCTGCTTATGTAATAAGTTTATTGATTGGGAACATCACTATTTCCACAGTTCCTGAGACATAGTAATCACGAATAAGGAAGATATTCTTTACATTTTGGAAATTACTTTATAAACATGAATCTAAGAAATCACTAAGGATTTTTTTAGTGACCAGCACCCTAGCAAAATACATTATTAATAAAAAGTATATTAATACATATTCTTCTGAATACAGAAACAGTCTGTATCTGAAATGACACTCTCAGTAGAACAGTTTGCATATACTATTTTGTGCATGTTTTTCATGTTAAACTGTGGATTTGTGAATTGTCCAATTCTAATATTTGCTTTGTAGAGAGAGACATTTTAGAATGTTTCACAAGATCTAAAAGGACTGCACCAGCTTTTAAATTGATCCCTCTGAAGTTTTTATTTTACTCAGAGCTATAATCTCCCACCCCCTCTTTGACAGATTCTTTTTTCTGGATGTTAAAATAATAAAATCCGTTGATTGAAAATAATTAGTTTCAGACTTCTTTTTCTATTGCTGATTAATCTACCTAGTGACCATGAAATTTCTGATACTTTTGCTGATCCTGTTTCTGAACATTACCAGTTATCAGGCAAATAATAGCCAAAAGATATCCACCCATCATTAGGCGGCCATAAAATATGGATCTTTTTACTGCACAGATATGAATACTCAGAATACTTTACCAATCAAGCATAGTATTGCTAATTAAGATCATTCAAATATGTTTGCCAACAAATAAAATTGTCATATAATACATTATAAAGCAAACATCTATGATTGTATATTAGCCTACTATATTCTCAGTGAAAATAATGTCATATAAGAGATTTTGCAAATCTGGGAACCTTTGAGTACTTCTTCTGGAAGGTTCTTAAAACATGGCTGTGTCAGTAGATTTAGGCAGTTTCACAGAAATGGTGATCTAATGAGATGGCTGCATTGCTTTTAATATCAATCTTTTCTACTGTTTTCCTATAACAATTTTGTTGAGGTTTTTAATTGTACTTGTTTTAATGTTTTGATTTTACTATTGTTTTTATTGCCACCTTTCTGAGTTATTTAAATGTATTAATATATAAAATAAAATTTCAGAATTTTGAGTCAACAATGCAACAGCAGATTGTAACACCTAATATTTCTATTTCTATTAAACAACAGTTTAAAACAGTGAAATCCAAAATCAATCTTACACAACCTATTTAACTGTACCCATATGATCATATCAGATGAGCTGGAAGCAAAATACAAAATAAAATCATGTGCTGAAAGGAGTATAGAGGAAAAAGTGAGAAAGAGTTGAGATTAAAATGTTAAAATAAAAATAACAAATTTCCAGATAGTGGCCATCACTACAGGTTAAAAGTCAGTCTTGGATTTATTATTTATCTTCCTTTTGGTGAAGAATATTTCCTCCATGCAGCTAACTAATTCAAATGGGGATAGTATGGATTCATATTTCAGAGTTTTGCAGCTAAGCTTATTAGCTGCAAAACTAGTATAATTAGTATCCTCATTCCTCATCTTCTCTTCCTGTAAGGAAGAGGAAGAGGAAGAGGAAACTGACTTAACTAAACTGTGTTCTGAAACATGCCTAAACCAGTACACATTTCCTACTTTAGGGGATTCCTTGGCACGGTACTGTTAAAATAAGGCAACAGATTTAAATAGGACAGACAACTGATATACATTTAGATCCCACATGTGACACAGTTGCTCACTGCAGGCTTCCGTTTAACATTTTGCTTTTGATATCAATGCAAACATGTGTGCTGTGTGTATGTCTGTGTGTGGCTTATTTATTTTAAATTTATCTTTTGCTAAACATTAAATTATTTCTCAAGAAATAAAAATATATTTACATGGTAAGTATCTACATTATACCATCAGTATGAACATGCACCAGTGAGAGCCTCTTCAGAAATTTGGTCAATATTGGTTGGGCCATTTTGTGCATCCCACCCACCTTCATTGGGATCTAAAAATATTATTCAGAAGGGACCTCACAGAAACAGTTTTCAAGATTTATCGGATAACACCAGTTATCTGAATCAGAATCTGAAAGCACTGGTCACAGGCAAGTGTGGTAAGAACCATTAAATATCCTTTTGAGATTGCCATTGACAAAAAAAACCAAAACATAATTATTTCAATTGAAATTTAGGATCTTATACCATGATTTCATTCAGCTGTATATCATATTGAGATACGGTTTGCCAAATGCTCACTTTATAAATGTCCCCTGAAAAAGAAAAAATGAAAAAAAAGTCCACACCATTAATATTAATAATAATAATAACAAGAAGAATTTTGCTTCATCTACTCATAATATTAATTACAAAATAAAAACTGGGAAATGTTGTTGTCAAAATGGACTCCTGATATTAAACACTAGTGCAGTTCGGTATTTCCTTTGTGCTTTCACTGTTGGAGATCGTTGAGATGCTTCCTAAGCAGAAGGAGAAAGGGAGAGAAAATAAATTTGTTCACTGCATCTTGATTTTCATTCTGAAATTGTTTTAATTTAAGCAGACATTTTTCTTTTTCCTGACAGGTAAATTGTATGTAGAAATTGATGCACAAACAAAAACTCTGCTTTTCCATCTATGGTTTGGCTGAGAACCTAAGAAATTACTCTATGTAAAATAAGGACGCTATACACTAGACATCAGAAAGCATCAAATTATGGAAAGAGCGATGGATAGTGTGACAGTAGAAGATGGAAGTCAAATGAAAAAGAGTTAAGCAGACATTCAGACACTGAAGTAGAAGTGGTCACTTCCTTTTTGTGCTATGAACCATCACTAGGCTTTCTGTTCCAATTTCTCATTCAATCTTCTTTATTGAAACATAAATTATGTGTTTCAATGGTGGCCTTCTAATGCTTTATTATTTTTCAAGAGTTGAAAAATTTGCAGGAAAAAAACATTGCAATGTTATCCAGAAGATAATACATGTATGAATTAATTCACACAAAATCAGGGTAACAGAATCGATCTACTGCAAATATAAGGAGCGGATGGCTTTCCCAAACAAAAGAAGGGGCCAATTAATCAGGACCATGTCAGGGGGAAAAAAAAGAGCTGCAGAAATTTGAATATATATATATATATATATATATATATATATATATATATATATATATATATATATATATATATATATATATATATATATATATATTTGGGTACATAAAGCTTGTTCTTGAAACAGTAGTTACTAGAATTCCATTATTATAGACTACTGATTTTTCTTTAATAAATATTATTTATCTTAATGTTTTGGTGTGAGTTTGCCTAAGTTATTACAGTCCTGTCTGTTGGTTAAACTTGAAAATCTATTTATCTTTTCTATTAATGTATTTTATCTGAGAAATACTTACATTCATCAATGGAGGAAAATAAGAAGTAATTTTTTTTTCTATATGTTTAAGGGTGCTACAATTGTATTTTGGCTAACACTTTAAATTCTCAAACAGGGCCAAATAAAATGTTGATGTTGGGGTGGCACATCAAAAACTAAAACTGATTTAATTTGAATCCTATTATTAATACAATATGAGTTAATTACATAAAACATTATGATCACTTTTCGTTCTCCTTTCACACTGACAATTCAGGTTCTTAGCTGGGCATATCTGATTAAGGGATGATGACTATCACTGTCATTGAATGGATGCCCATGCTGTTTACCTATAACCCGTGCATCCAACTCTTTGTCCATGAGTTCTTCAGGGTCTGTGAATTCACTAAGTGAAATTTTGGGTGCATTTTCATTTTGGCTGACAGAACCAATCATCTCCTGTTCTTTGTCATGTTGCACCTGAGCATAGATGTTGATCCATGGAATTTTCCTGCATATAAAAGAAACAGATCCTCAGTTAGGTAACTATTCTAAATAACAAAGATACTGGTCTTCTTAATAGTAATAATGATTTATTATTTAGCTAAATTGTATCACAAAAATAAGAGGAAAAAAGGAGGAGTATAATTTACTTTTTAAAATGTATCTAAAAGTGTTAGGACTAATTTCAGTATGAATGTAGGAGAAAGTATACAATTGTTAGAAAAAATTCACAAGAGAGTCAGAAAACATAAATATTCAGTTTATGAAACCTGACATTCATAGGCATTTAATACAATCCATAAGAAGAAAGAAAGAAAGAAAGAAAGAAAGAAAGAAAGAAAGAAAGAAAGAAAGAAAGAAAGAAAGAAAGAAAGATAAGGAGAGGGGAGGGAGGGAGGAAGGAAGGAAGGAAGGAAGGAAGGAAGGAAGGAAGGAAGGAAGGAAGGAAGGAAGGAAGGAAGATTCAATTTACAGTATAATATTACAAAACAAGCCTTCACATTTTTTTATTTGGATCCTGACTAGAGAAAAATTTCCACTAGATCACATTTTTGCAGCATTTGCATACTGGATTTCTAACCCAGTAAAATCCTATTTAATGAAGCAATTGTGAGATGAGATGGCTTCATGTAGCATTGGAATGGAAAAAATGAATTGACTTGTCTAATCCGAACCTAACCAAAATCCTCTAGAAATTTTGAGAAAACTCTTGATGAGATAAAGTATTTTTCCATCCCATAATGAAGACTGGTTCTGGCACATTGAGTGAAAAAAAATTAATCAACAGTGCAAATGTCAAGAAAGCAGGTCCATGGTAGTAGAACATTAAGAGCATGACAAGATATTTAGACTTCCTTGTCATTCACTGCAGAGAAGAGGCCTCCAGTTGTAATGATTCTCTGTGCTACTGGATTACTAAGACAATGGCAGCTGTTCCACATAGAAATCCATTGCAGAGAAATTTTTGTTAATTCAGCTTCATCAACAGCTCATCTGCAAATCCTCTCAGATCAAACCTAATTTGTTGAGTCATGTGGCAAAGGGGAAGTAGTAAAGTGGAGGTAACCCCTGGCAGTTATAGTCACAAACTGACAGAATCCAGATTGTTAGAATGTAGACATAGTACTGGTGAGCCCTGTGCTATGAAGCTTTATGAAGCATTAGCTTTGAAGATAGGGACCACCAAAAACTGACAAAAAATGGTGAATGACATCATACAATGAAACCCACAGTTACAATAGACTTCCAGTGCCCCCACTGTGCTTTACTCTACTGTGCTAGACTCTGCTGGACTGCAGAACCAGCTCCATGTTGAACAGAGTGTCTTCTTCAAATCCCGAAGGTCTATCATACATACCATAGAGTTTAAATCCCTACATATCGGATGAGATACATTCTTACTTTTGTTTTTAAATTGGTGTCTTTTGTAGTCACTTCAACCTACAAGCTCTATAACAAACAGAAAATAGCGTAATTTTCTACTGCTGCGTAGTATATGTGATATAATGAAGACTTGATATCAACTAATAAATTCAGATTCAGAGAATCTGATTAAGCAATAGTGATAGTAATGGAAACAAACACATCAAAGAGAAGGAATCCTGGACAACAAAATGATATTTTTAAATAAGGAGCTTACTTGTACCAAGAATTATCAAAAAGAGAAAAATAACAGAAAGTATTTAATAAATCTGAATGTAATGTATACCTTGATTGCTTTTCCAGACAATTACTGCTATCATGAGCTTTTTACAAAATAAATGTTGTGTGACTCTTCCTTTATTCACCTCCTTTTGACATCCTTTTAAATGACTGCTAAGTGGCTGGGAGGAAAAATAGTCAACACTTCTGCTTAATCTTATTTTCTCTAGGGCAAAGTTATCAGGTACCTTTGATCTTTCTCTATGATTTATCTTTTAAGACGTGTATGATTGTCCTAACAGTCTTGCAGATTATGAGCCAAGCTCATTTAGCTTTGGTGCATGCTTGCCTGATTTTATATAGCTTAATTAGGTCATTAATAACTCATATAAATATGTCATTATTTCTTGAAAAGCTCGCCTGGTTTCTTTTCTACTTCTGGCCCTAGTATCTGTACTGACTGTTCTGCCTTTTACACTTAAATGGCTTTTATGTTTTCTCTTCTTTGTCATATTAAAATACTGTAGATAAGGGGGGAAATCAAATAAAATTTCATATTCTCAACTTAATCCAAATTTTATTACCATGTGACATGAGTCACCTAAGTGGAAACATTTCCAAAACAATGTAAGGGAAATTCATATGGAAATGTCCAGAGCTTAATCAATAGAATGCCTCATGTCAGAAATTTCTTTTCCCTTTTGATTAAACTTGGATAGGCATAAAGGGGGATTTAGGATAGGATCGCCCCAGTAAAATGCTTTATGCTGAAGAAGCAACGTATTCTATCTTGAATCTTAAATTAGAAGCACAAAGGCAGGTCTGAGCTGTTTTAAACAGCCATTTTACTTTGATAAAAGTGGCTTTCGCACATATGCAGAAGACATTTTTCTTGCTCACTTTGCTGCTGAGAAATAGGAAGGTGCTTAACTTTGTCAAGTTTCTTGAAGTTGCGCTTCAACAGTACTTTCATCAAGACTAAAAGCACTCCTGTACAGATCTAGATATCATGAAAGAACTGAATTTCCTGAACTCATTAAATCTCTCCTTCTCTGTACATGGTAGACCAAAAGAAAACTAAAAAGACAGTGCCCTCAGTCTGAATACTGCTAGAATTATAAAACAAACTTGGGTCAGTTAAGGCAGTCCAGACTTCTTGACATGAAATATTCCACTTTTTTCTCCAAATATGCCCTTCTATTTTAAGTATGTTTTTAAGACTATATTAAAATATCATTTTTAAAAAAATCCTATGATTCTTTTAAGGGACAGCGTGGTCATCTTCAGCCAGATCAAAAAAGGAAATTAGGATATGATGAATGAATATTATAATAATAAAGTAGACATTGATCCAATATGCACAAAGTGTTTTACACTGTAGTATTGATCTACTATTTTCTTATCGAAAATGTTATATACTTTTTTCTTCCTAAATGGGAACTTTCGTTTAAATTCTCCTCAGGTCCAAATATATTCATATAATGTTTATTTTCAATTTTGAAATGCTGTACAGATAGTTCTCGGCTTATGACCATAATTGACCCCAACATTTCTGTTGCTAAGTGAGACATTTATTAAGTGAGTATTGCCCCATTTATGACTTTTCTTGCCACAGTTTTAAGTGAAACTGCACATGTTAAATTAGGAACAGGGTTGTTAAGTGACTCTGGCATCCCCGTTGACTTTGCTTATCAGAAGGTTGCAGAATGTGATCACATGACTCCAATAGATTGTAACTATCATAAATATGAGTCAGTTGCTAAGCTGACTGAAGTTTGATCACATGACCATAGGGTTGCTGTAATGTGAAAGTGTGAAAAATGGTCATAAATCACTTTTTAAGTGCTGTTGTAAATTCAAACGGTCATTAAATGAACTGTTGTAAGTCAAGGAATACCTGTAGTAATTTTAGAAACAAATAGCAGCTTGCTCATCATTTTTAAAATGGTAACTATTGTCATTATGCTAAATCTCTACTGAGATTCAATCCTAAACAACCAAGACTGCCATCAGGCTTTGCATCTTACTTCAGTTTTCCTTTTTTATAGATCTGTGGAGATCACAAATGTGAGAATTAGGCACCAAGTTAAATTGTCATTGTTGTTATAACAGTGAATGGTTAGCAAATGAGGCAGTCATCACACAAGGATTATCTGTATGTGTAACTTTAAGATAGATCCTAGGAAAAGATAACTTTTTTCTGCCCTGTACACATGACAAAGAAGCTGAACCAATTTTTTTACATGCCATGCTGAAGAAATATAGACTCTCTTCAGTCTGTTTTAGATTGTGTGTGCAGACGCTTCCTAAGGGTATACACACAAACATTAATTTTGAAAGAACATATAACACAATTAATATTTTTCTTATATCATCATTTTGTTCACAGTAAGATACTTTTTATTCCTCCCAGTTTTCTTCCATGTGCCCATATCCAATAGCATATCTTGCTTTATGCAGGCCTTTAATAAACTTCCCGCATGTGTGTCAGCAGAGTGCCAATTGTAGCAATTTATAACATTAAAAATTGATGCAGACACATGTTTCCCCTATCTCGGCTAAATAAAAACCAATATTCTAGCTGGAATTCTATCTCATCACAAAAATGCACATTGCTTTCCTGTTGAGATAAAATCCAAATAATCACAACAGACCAAGCTGCAGATTCTTCAATCCTATATAGTGAGATGTTCTTTGAAACAGTATTATAAAAATTTAAAAATAGTTTTGCTAGACTAGGCCTCATCCAGCAAAGTACATTGCACAGGAATCAACAGATGTATTTACAAAACTTTATATATATATATATATATATATCGGGTTTCTTCCCATGTAATTGTGGATATATCCCTAAAAGGGTAGAAGCGACGTTTCGACAAATCTCATCTGCCATCATCAGGCTTATGTGAGGAGTCTTTTGCAGTAACTGCCGTTACTATTTCAAATCTGGTGCTGGTAGTCTGGGATGGCTCCACCTTTTCATTCTGATTGGTTGGGAGTCCCAGTATGTGTTTATTGGCTTGGCTTCGGGTGTATGGTTGGTTTTTCTCCACTAGGTGGCAGGGCTTTATCTTTGTGGCTGGTTTGAATATGATTTGGTTGGGATTTGTTTTTTGATTAATGTTTTATCTATGTTTTATATTTGGTGTTAAGATTCGTCTATCTATGAGAGCAGGTTTCCAAATAGTAGGCAGACGTGAAGTGTCATCCCGTTTATTCATGCAATGTGGTCTTTTTTCTATTTCAAACAGAATTATATACACTAACTAATGTACTGACATCAAATGGGTTCTGTAGAAATAAAGTCATCAATATGATCCAACATGCAACACCTGGACAGAAGAAAAACAACAAGAGGAACAAAAC